CATATAGCCATGTGTATAATGGGAAGTCTAGACATATTGGTTTACGACATAGCTATGTGAATGGTCTAATAAAAGACGGGGCCATAGTGGTGGATTTTGTGCGTACAAAACAAAACTTGGCTGATGCTCTTACCAAGAGTTTGTCGAGGGACATGTTGCACAAAATGAAAATAGGGATGGGTCTTGAGCCTATTGATTAAATCACAGTTAGAGGAATCTCAACTCAACGTCTAATACAACGTTAGATCTTGAGTTCAATGAGTTAAATCCTCTAATGTGTGGTTGTAGATGCTTAAAAGTGAATCATCCCGAGGTAAGCATCTTGGTATGCAACGTAAAGAGGTTGTTTATACTTAATGAATTCTTTGACAAAGTGCTTAGTTGCAGAGCACGATTTGAAAGAAATCACCTATGCAAGCATGAAGTGTGGCCGCTTCAAGATGTTGGAGGCTCAACATCTATGTGCTTGTGAAGGGGATATGGACACATGGCCGATATAGTGTCAAGGAGTACAAGAAATTGTATTGAGTGTGGATTCTGTGTGTGTGTATACGCGGTAGCTCAACTAGGATTACGTAGGTTCAATCGTTTTCGACACCTACGGAATTCGAGTCTACTGTTGTATACTACACTAAGTGAAAGTTCACCCGCTAATAGACTGTTTTCTGCAATCAATCGACCTTCCACAAAAGCATACTGGTTAGGTAGTATAAAATCCTTGAGGAATGGTTTGATTTTCGTTATCAGTAACTTAGAGATGACTTTGTATTGAGTATTAGAGCAAACAATGGGTCGAAAATCACCAAATATGTCCGCACTTGAGGTCTTTGAAACAAGTATGATAGCTGTAGAATTAAGTCTTCTAGGCAGGTCACCAATTCTGAAAAAATGTTGTTGGGAGTTTTAGAGTAAATGAATGGGAATTTAGAATCTCTCAAAAGGATTCATGTTTAACGTGTATTACAAGTATGGTGGAGGAGTTAAATGCTTGTAAAAGACGTGGTATGAATTGGCTAAGTGTTAAGGATACGTCGAAAGAGTTTACGTTCGGTTTTGAACGTGAAAGGTAATCTCAGAAAAAATGGGAGGGCAGCTCGAAAATATGAGCTGGCAGCCTGTTTTTTCTGAGGAATAAAGCTCATAAATAAATGGGCGGTAGCTCGGAAAAACCGGGAGGGCAGCCTGTTTTTTCTGAGCAATTCAGAAATAAACGGGCGGGTAGCTCGACAAAACGGGCGGGCA